GAGCTAGTCCAGTTTAACAACTCTAAAAGTTAAAATTAGTTCTACTTTTGTGAACATTGGGAAAATGAGCAGGTCTATCAGGAGCACATTGCTGTTTGGCAGAGTTTCTGGCTATCAGAATTGTACTTTTTGAGAAATAATCTTGGTTTCCCCATATGGAAATTGTTTTGGGGTTAGTAAGTCTAAAGGGTTGAACATTCACTAAATAAATGTTCTCACAGCAGTCTCTCTTAGTATTTAACAATGACCATTTAAAATCCAGGGAACAGAGTTACATAATATAGAAAACTACATGCAACTTCAGTTTTTGCTTTGGTGATACAAATTTAGGAACGGAGCCAAGTCTGGAAGCCACCAGGCTGGCCAGCTCATTGAAATATCTATCTTGGAAAATGTTCCTGCTTTGTGAGGTGGGGAGAAATAAATTATAACATCTATTACACTGAGTCTGGTAATTAGTCATCAATTACCTGACTTTTTTGTTTCCTCTCTCTGTGCTGTAAGCTTATATAGTCCCTTTATTTACAATAGTGCCTCTGCTATTGACACATCACTGCTTGTTAGTCTCATCCAGAACACAGCCCAGCCCCTGAGTTATCTAAGACAGAAAATCACTTAGTGAGTAATCCTAGTCTTGCAATTCTGTTGACGGCTTTTAAAAAATGCAAATTGTGTAATGAACTTGTGATATAAATTGCCTATTACGTAACTGAGTGGAGTAATTGCTCCTCACTACAAGAAAAACATTGAGGTGCTGGAGTGAGTCCAGAGAAGGGCAATGGAGCTGATGAAAGGTCTGGTGCACAAGGAGCACCTGAGAGAGCTGGGGTTGTTTACCCTGGAGAAAAGGAGGCTTAGGGGAGACCTCATTGCTCTCTGCAGCTACCTGAAAGCCAGGTGGGGGTTGGCTGCTTTTCCTAGGCAACAAATTTGAGGAGAAATGGCCTCAAGAGAGGAAATGGCCTCAAGCTGCACCAGGGGAGGTTCAGGTTGGTGTAACAGTTCGTTTGGATACATGTCCGGAATAAAAATAAGTGCCAGAAACATTCAAACACACAAAATATCTTTTATTACAGTGAGAATAATAATAATAATAATAAACTTAGCAAAAAGAATCAAAAGCTAAAAAAGATGCAAAATAACTACCTTATTGTGTGGCCTTAAAAACAAATGCTACGAACAGCATTTATAATACGATATTAACTAGTAAAAAGGGAGTTTAAAGGGATACCAAAAAGGGTTCTTAACACAATGTTATTGATAACTATTAACACGATATCAGTTAGTAAAAGGGGAAATGAAAGGAAAAATACTATGAACAACTTATTTATGTAAAAATATTCAATAGTAAAAGGGGAATTAAAGGGACACTAAAGGGATATTAAAAAAGTTTGTTCTCTCGGTTGCTTCCTATCAATAAACTGTGCTTACCCACACAGACAGGCCAGGGCTGTCAGGATCTGCAGCAGCTGGTCGGTGCCCGTGCTTAGCGGGCGTCCCCGCGGAGCAACACAGTCTCGGTGGCAGGATGAGGATCGCTCAGCTCAGCAGCTCTGACACCCCATTTTATCAGTTCCACATTACACTACGTAGGGCCAGTACACAGTATAAGGTGATGCCTGAGTGGCAGCCAAACACAGCCTAATCATTACCTAATGGCAACAGTCTGCACATGCCCTACTTGCAGGGCAAGGGGCGAGTGACCCCTGCCCACATAATCTTCCTCCCATCATCATCTTTCTCACCCCTATGTATGACCTCTACCATTGTGTTTCAAGGGTAGATGTATCTATCCTGCAATGTGTAGCAAAACCAAGGAAGAACTCAGCTCTGATAATAGGGGATATCAAGATGACTTGCTAAAAAGCACAATGGACCTTACAATTAGCTTGTGCCATGAAGTTACGTTGTACCATACTCTAGCTGGTTTCACATCCTAATATGATTTCCTTCTCACGCCTCTATGCTCCATTGATCATCTAATTCTAAAGTACCCCCCTTACAGTTGGACATCAGGAGGAATTTCTTCACTGAAAGGGTTGTTAAGCATTGGAAGGGGCTGCCTGGGGAAGTGATGGAATCATCATCCTGAGAGATGTTAAAAACTATGACTGAATGTGGCACTTAGTGCATGGTCTAATTGACATGGTGATGTTTGGTCACAGGTTGGACTCAATGACCTTGGGGGTCTTTTCCAATTTCAGTGATTCTGTGGTTCTGTGAACTAATTTCAACAAGCTCGCACACAGAATTGTACAGTGAAAGACTTGTTTTTAATTCACCATTAATGAATGGAACATGTTGTATGCTTAGTCTAAAAGCATTTTTGATTAATAGATGTGACACAGTGGGGATTTGGACCCAAAGCCTGTGAGATGAGTGAGAAAAGAAAGTCCCAGTTTTAGTAACAAGGAAGAAAAAAACTTCCCATCCAGTTTACATCTAACTGACCCTCCCTACTGCTGGTGTTATTTCAGTGTGAACATGGGTCTGCTCTGCTCTGAGCACTTGACAAGTTGTGACACAGAACTGAGATAAAGGCCTGGCCCACAAGGGCATCCTATTTCCCTGACTCAGACAGGTGAGTCAGAAGGGTTTTAAAGGGAGTGGAACAGAACTTAGGTAGGTGGCTGGGAATAACATGTTTACCCTCCATTTCTGTCTCTGTTTCTCTCCACCTCCTCCATCTGCCTGATCAACTGTTGTTGCTGTCTGCTGCATCTTATCTTCAAGAACTGCAGAAAAAGGGTTTTTTTAGGATACCTTTAAAGTATGGAAGTGCACCACAGAGCCTCGAAGCCCACAGTGAAAGAGCTCAGCAGCTCTTTCTCTGTTGTTTTTTACACTACTGGTGAGGAGAGAACTACAGGGGGGTTGACCAGTTTGGGGAAACATTTATTTTCTGAATGGCACCACTGCATAGTTTCTTAGACTGTGGGGCAAAACTACTTAAGGTTGCTGCAGCTTTGCAGCAATTTGCACTTCAAAATAGAAGACTGACATCCTCTTAGATTTTTTAGGTATCTGAACTAACCCTACTGTGCACCTCAGCTAGGCAGAAGAAACAATTTGTATCACCACAGAAAGAAGCAAGCCTCAGAAACTATTATTTGTGAAATGCTAAAATGCATTTTTACTTTTTCTAGCTATCTCTCTCAATATCAGTTTTTCATGCTAACTGCATTATGACCAGATTAGCTATAGCTGATCTGTATATAAGAGAAAACTTATTTTTTGCTCCTTGAAGTGTAAGGAAGCTTTTAGACCATTGCCCAAACCTTTTATTGACTATTTTATTACTTTATTTCAACACAGGCCTCTTCTCTGCAATCTGGGAAGTATGTACGATGTGTGTTGACTGTGGTGGCTCCCTGGGGTGTGGTTCCCTCATATTTAAATATGCATATTTCCCTTATGGATTGCACTGTGCCCCTCAGGTCACCCCTGCATGGCACTACTCCAAGAGACCTCTAATACCTCAGTGCTGAAATAAAACATCACTGCCCTGGGAGTGCACACTTCTGCCATTTCTCATTTCCAGGTCTTCAACTTGTGTGAAAATTTATATAATTTAATGGGGGGAGGCAGGGGACACCACTGCTGTGTCAGTGCTGACAAAGGAAAGACAGACTCACTGTTCACCTTCTGTGTGGCAGGAAGGTTTGTTTGTTTGCTGAGGAAAAGGTCAAATATATAACTCTAGTTTGGGGATGAACAGGAGCAAATGTAACTGGTACATACTGAGCATTTTTGCTAGTTTTTGAACACACAGGCTTTCCACCTAGAAACAGTTCAAACCTGGCTGTGTCCAGGTGAGATTTCTGCCTTTCTGAACCAATGGATCGCACCTGTTGCACCCCTGATAACAATTTTTAACCCAAACTGCTGCAGGTGCTGAAGCCCAGCCCACAACATCTCAGAGCCTTGGCCCCTTTGCTGCTGCACCCTAGCGCACTGAATGGCAGGTAGCGAGAGACGGATTGGGGTATTTTCAATGGAGATGTTACACGGAATCATTGTACACACCACCTCCCCCTGCGGAGGGGAGTGGGAGGAGCTGTGCTCTGTGCCTCAAGATCTGAACCCCTCAAAGTCTGAACCGAACTTTGCAGATTTTTTTATTGGTTGTTATCAGTAGCTGTAGCTGAACAATTATGACTAAGCACTTGCATTGTGAATGTCATACGCTTGGATAATCTTTTGTTTTGAGGAAAACAGAAGACAACCCCAAGATGAACAGGCTGTCTGGACGAGAGCCGCCAGGAGTGAAGTCAGCAGGATTGGGCAGTACCTAGGGGAAACATAATGCCGACAGGGAGTGACTGTGACTATGGACTCACTGACTACCTACTCAAAACGGCCCCCCGGCTCAAAGGGAGGGAAGAACTGCACATGGGAACTAATGAGCAGGAGAAGTGAGAGATACAACTGACCAATAGAGGTTTGATTGCTAATTAATAGAGAAGTTATGCAACTTGTAACCAAAGAATGACGGTGCATTCATGTTTGTTAAAATGTATCAATAGCGTAAAGTTTTGATGATCGGCAAGCCAGCCTTTCACGGGTAACCACCCAGATCCCTACTTTGTGCAAACTAAAATAAAAAGTAGAAATACAGAATCACAGAATTGTTAGGGCTGGAAGGGACCTCTGGAGATCCTTTAGTCCAACCCCCCTGCCAAGGTAGGGTCACCTGGCGCAGCTGACACAGAAACATGTCCAGGTGGATTTAAAATGTCTCTAGAGAGGGAAACTCCATGACCTTCCCGGGCAGCCCGTCCCAGTGCTCTGCCACCCTCAGTGTAAAGAAGCTCTTACTCACGTTGACGTTAAACTCCTTGTGATTTAGCTCACGCCCACAGCCGCCCGTCCTGTCTCTGGGCGCGCCGAAGGCCCCGCCCCGGCTGTGCGAACCGGGTAGGGCCGGCTCCGTCCCCGCCCCTCAGCGCCCGGCGGCACCTCCGGGCCGCCAGGCGGCGCTGCCGCCCGCGCCGCCGCCGCTCCGGCCGCCCCCGCCCGCCGCCGCTGGTCCGGGCGGCCACGATGGAGGCGCCGCCGGTCACGATGATGCCCGTCACGGGCGGAACCATCAACATGATGGAGTACCTGCTCCAAGGTGGGCGGCGGGCGGGCCGGGCAACGCGGGTGGCCGCCGGGGAGCGGGGGGTGCGGGGCAGGAGCCGCGCACGGGCGGGCCGGGGGCAGCGGCGGGAGCCCGGGTGACGGCGGCGCTGTGTCCGCAGGGAGCGTGCTGGACCAGAGCCTGGAGAGCCTCCTGCACCGCCTGCGCGGGCTGTGCGACAACATGGAGCCCGAGACGTTCCTGGACCACGAGATGGTGTTCCTGCTGAAGGGGCAGCAGGCCAGCCCGTTCGTGCTGCGCGCCCGGCGCTCCATGGACAAGACCGGGATGCCTTGGCACCTGCGCTACCTGGGGCAGCCCGAGATCGGCGACAAGAACCGCCACGCCCTGGTGCGCAACTGCGTGGACATTGCCACCTCCGACAACCTGACGGACTTCCTGGTGGAGATGGGCTTCCGCATGGACCACGAGTTCGTGGCCAAGGGGCACGTGTTCCGCAAGGGCATCATGAAGATCGTGGTGTACAAGATCTTCCGCATCCTGATGCCGGGAAACACGGAGAGCATCGAGCCGCTCTCCCTGTCCTACTTGGTGGAGCTCAACGTGGTTGCGCCAGCGGGGCAAGACGTGGTCTCTGATGACATGAGGAACTTTGCTGAGCAGCTGAAGCCTCTGGTGCACCTGGAGAAGATTGACCCCAAAAGACTGATGTGACTGCAATGTGGGTGGTTAAGGCACTGGTTTTGTAAGGGTTCCAGAAAAGGGTGTTTTTCTAAAAAGCTTTTTGAGGGCAAATCAAAACAGGGAGATGGGAATAAAGGACTACATACCAGTTCTGTTACTTGCAATTACTGAGTGTCTTTTCCCTTCACTAGTGGATATGAACAAAAGTGGAGACTTCAACACCATTAAAAAAAAAAATTAAATGTTAATATTGGTAGTTTTCCTGCTGGGAAGATACCTATTAGAAAGCCTATTGCCTAACACTCTAAAAATGTCATTTTTACTGGAATTCATCCCTCTCGTACCCACAGCCTAGTGCTGTCTTTGTTTGGTTTTTTTGAGCACCATTTGCGTTTCCTACCCAGTCATCCAAAATTTTTACGTAATACATGAAGTTAATATCTTTTAATACAGGAGGTTCTGTTTAATACAAGCATAAACCCAGGAACTGCAGTATAAAAGAGCAGGTGTACACCTCTTCATAATAGCACATGTGACAGGAACAGCCAGGAAAAAGATGCTTGTAGGGAAACTGTTTCTGATATAACCAAAGTTGGAAGTGGAAGACAATTTAGTAATATTGACATATGCAAGGGGTTTTTACATCTTTTAATGGTGTTCCATCTTTTTCATTGGAGTTGAGTATAGCAGTCTTAGTTAATAAAAAGTAAATTACAAACTGTTTTTTGTTATTGGGCTTGTTGCAGCTGACAGCAATACTGAATATTGAAATGTTAAGTGCACTTTTGCTGCATTTTTATAAAAAAATTTATTCGCAATTTTTATTTAAAAAATTATTAAAATAGTACCAGCTGCTAATTGAACTACTGATGATTTTGTTTCGTACCTCTCTCGATAGCACAATGGTTAGTAACCTAATACTTCAGTGATAATTCAGTGCTATTTGAATTAGGTTTTGAGGGTTTTCAAATACAGTTCAATCAAAAAAAGTTTGGGAAAACCAGGATATATAAAGGGACTTATTTACATTTCTCAAGTTTTTTACAGAGGACAACCATTTTACCCAATACTGTACCAACCTCTGCCTGAAACGTTACCACACTTCAGCACAAGTTGCTTTATGTAACAACTAAAGGCAGGGACCACTCCCAGAAAAACCTTCAAAAAAAGCCTTTTAAGTTAACAGCTACATTTTCAACGCTGGAGTTTGGGCAAGATAAGCCTTGACAACTGATCAGCACTTAACCTAAGTGCAGTGTCTTAAGCATTCCAATGCCACAGGCTCTAGTGTGGATGTGGGGAAAAGCCGAGTACTTGGATGGTACGTGAGCACAACTACGCTGCAGACAGAGCAGTGATTTCCAGCAGGGCAGAAGCAGAGAGGTTTAAGCTGTGTGACTGCTCATTACCCAGACTGAAAGTGTTTTCTAGAGGGTACAAGCACACCTGCAATTCTGTTCACACTAACTGAAGCATTTACACTTTAGATGACAATAGGTCTGACTATAGATTGACCCAAAAATAATAATTAAAAAATTTGTTCTTTTTAGGGAGAATTAGTTTAAACCTTCCAAACTGCAGCTACCAACAGTACCAGGCTTCCTTATTTTAGCTGTAATCCTTGCATAGAAGAGGCAGGTGTGCAGAGAAGAGCTTACTGCATCAATGGCTACAGGTGAGAATGCTTTTCGGGCAGTTGAAATACTCAAAAAGCATCTCCCTTTCTCCTATCCAATGAAATATATTTTTCTCCTATAAAAGTTAGCTTATAAAAGCTGGAGACTAAAGACTACTAGTATCAGTAATACACACTAGTAAATTGCACGGCATATCCTTAATTATCATTCATTATCCAGGGTCAAATTGTAGTTACACAGAAATGCTCAATCTCTCTTTACTGGAAAATAGGTAGTTTTTAAACTAAGCACATAAGTTATGGGACCGGGAATGTCAAGTGTGACCATATTTTTTTCATTCTATTTTTGGGGATTTCTTTTTGCAAGATGAAATAGCCGCATTCTTCAAGGACAGGGCTTGCCTCAGGACTCTGTTGCAATATATTAGCTGAGGCCTGATGCAGCTGAGCTTGAGATAATTTTCTTTTCTGTGCAAGTAATGCCTTCTGTTATTTCAAACTGTTTCTCCAGTCTTGCATACCTATAAGGTTTCTAAAAATTTACTGATTACTACATAAAAAAGAAATCCCTGTGTAACAAATAAACGTAGGATTGCTATTGATCCATTAGGCATCAGCTATCTCTAGTATTAAGAAAGCTTGCTCTGTGGAAGCTCATCTCGGTTCCTAAAATTATGCTTACTTTGGAAAAAGCCACAAGTTTATCCTTTGGCACATCTCAGTACTGGATCTCTGTTCTTCCCATGGAAACTTTCAGAATGTTGTTAATTATGTACAAATGAAGATGAGCTGAAATACTTTGGAAGTGCTCTATATGATGCTTACCCTGTACGGGGGCACCTTTTAACATCCCTCTGATATGCCAGCACAAAATGAACTTCTCAATGTATAAACTAATGTGGCATTCAGGTTTTCATCTCAGTAATGTCAGTAACACAAGCAAACTGCTTTCCTGTTAAATGTTTTCTTTACATTAGAATATTGTATATAACTTTATTCAAGATTTAAAAGTTAGTTAAAAGGTAAAATGTTTTAAGTAAGTTTCTCCAAAGCACTGGAAAGTTAAAAATAACAAGAAGCCAGGATTTTTCTTCATAATTTTTAATACCTTTCACTTTTAAATACTGGTTTTAAATTTGTGATTGTAACATGTAAGAGCCAACTTCTTTTAACTTTTAAAACTTATGATTAGAATCATAAAGCTATTATAGAACAGTTACAACTCTACACACTCAAGGTACTCAAAAATATGATTCATGTTTTAAGTCTGTAAATAAACAGTGGTAATTCAAATACAGCATTATCTGTACAACTTGACAAAAATACAGGTGGACAATCTGATTAAAGAGAATCTGCACAACTTCAGATAAGCCAGCTCAGCCCAACTAAGTAAAAGGTAAGGTTTTTTTCAAAGTGCATCACATTTTTTCACAGATAAATTCGTCAAAAATGTTCAGGTTCTCAGACAGAATAACAATGACCGTCTCCTCTTCATTCCCAGTACAAGTACTATCAAGTTATGCCCTTCAGATCTAGTTTGGCAACATTAAAATTCTCCAAACAGATGCAGATAGTCAGAGAATGATATCTGATGGAGAAGACTGCTGCATTTTCAGCCTTTCAAAGTGTTTCATTCTAGAGTCAGGAGCTGCTTCTGCAAAGACCACCACAGCTGCATAAATTCTACTGATCCATTAACAGGAAGAAATGAACTCACAATGCACAGATATGTGACAGTGACTGAAAAGAGGGATGGGTTCAAGAGACAGGGCAAATTGTCTAAAAGCAAAATCCCTTCCAGAAGACAGGATCTAACAGCAACTCACAAGGACAATCTGAGAGGCCTTCTTCCTTCTTTTTTAAAAAGGTGAATTTATACTGATTTCTCAGTCATGCAACTCCTTCTAAATTCTTTAAAAAGCCTCTTACAGCTCTGGGCAGGGCTAGCTACAGTGAAGTACCAGTGCCTTTATCTAAAAGTAAAACATTTCTTTACAAATAGTATCTGTAGTGTAATTTTATTTACAGAATAAATCGCAAAAGTACATCACATTTAGTGCAAATGCAACTAATGATATAAGTTTATACACTGCTTTGTAAACTTTCCATACCTTTGTAAAATAAAGCTATCCAATTAAATTAATAAACTTGCCCGTGTTCCAACAATTACCAGAAATGGCAAATAAGGAGTTAAACTCTTTATATTTTGGATATTTTTTTTTAAAGTTCCCATCAGTGTCTATGGTGGAATATACCACTGCTTGGTTGATTGTAAAAAGATGAAGTACATTTGAGGTATAAGATTTGTTTTTTTAACGTTGGTATATAAAATGCTCACTGGTGATATAGTAAACATGTACAAATTTTCATCTTATTTGCCTTACTAACATTACCATATAGGCACTTTTCTACATAGTCAAATTAACAGAATAACTCTGTAATAAGGCATATTCCATGCACACCATTAGAGAAAGGCAAATAAAAAGGGAAGAGTTATGGAGCATGAAATCTGCATGCGTGTGTTAGGTACAGTTTCATCTTTACACAGAAGATGAAGAAAGGAAGTTTTTCAACACTGTGCAGATCACATTTAATCATTTACCAAATCTTCATTGTTACCATATTTATTTCTTTTCAGGCACCTAGCACACTATATCAAATAAGCCTTTCAGCTTTCTTTTGAAAATAATAATGTCTGAAACTATTTTCCTCAAGATATACAGGTTAGTGAAACACTGAGCAGTCTCTGAAGAGTTTCCAACTACAGGACATGGAGAAAAGACCTCAAAGTCAATACTAGCCTGATACAGTCCTCTCCTGATCAGCCTCTCCAGAATCAAAGCTAGGCAAACATCTGACATTTAAATTGTCACAGCAGCCAAAGGGAACTTTCCAGTTAGAACTATGCATTCTTATAGCTCTGATGGGTCTTTGATCAAGAGGCAAATAATTTTCTACGTGAAAATAGCTTTTATTAAGATGAGGAAAACACATGCAGGATCTGAAAATAATGTACTCATCCTCACTGTAGACTGGGAATGTTGTCTTATGTAATCCAAATGATTTCAATAAATATTATAGTGTACCTTCTCACAGTTTGGGAAAACCCTGGATATCATGCAAGAAAGCAATCCACATATAGCATGGACAGATGTCTTCTAGGTTTCAGGCAGTCTCTTGCCCTCTTATACAGAATCTTTCTAGATAATTCTGGATCGTGTTCAATAACAAAAATTCTGCGGCACATATTACATAACTAAAAAATACAATAGAAATATAAAGATATCTGGAAAAAATAAAGCTTTTCACACTCTTACTCCTTCAGAACTAAAGATCGTCATAAGAGTAAGACAATAGAAAAGGCAAAGTCATAAAGATATTGACAGCCCTCAGTTATTAACTGACATTTTATGTAACAAGATGATTCATTATAGAAATCAGCAGCAATGAACTGTGATTATACAAAGCAGAACAAAACCTACCAACAAGTCACCTACGTTTTACTGAAGCTCCTCCTCCAAACTCCCCCAAAATACCATACAAAGTTTTGTGCATATAAAGCACATACAATATGCTATATGTGCATTTGTCTTTTGTGCTTTTTAGACATGCACAAAAACAGCACAAGTATCTTAGGAAGGCCAACAGTGAAATTCAGCAACTTGTTTAAAATTAAAGTGGTAACCCATGTTGGTGATTCAAAGTTGTATATGCTCTTCTAAAGCAAGCAAATAAAAGTAGAGCCATATACATGTTATCAATACATGTATTTATAATTACACACTGATTCAGCAAGAAAAGTTAACAGGAGAGAGCTACTTTTAAATATTCAGCCTCATGGTGTTGCAACACTTCTTCACTTCAGTATACAAAGCCTAGAACTCAGGCCATAAAAAGACTGTAGATCCTTCGTTCCAGCATGGAGTGCTCTATGCATGGTCACTTCTCCAACGCGGAATGCTCACTCAGTCTTGTTCTGATTGCTGCAGGTAAGCAAAGACAAAACTACAGCACCGAAAAGTTTGAATGCTAATAGAAAAATGAACTTGTTAAATACTTTAAATATCACCAGAACTGCTATGATCACGTGTGAACTGTTGGCTCGTGACAGCTGTGCTGTTAATGCTTCACCTACACTACTTCTCTAACAACATAAAATTAAAATTGTGAATCATTACAGGGCTACCTGTTATAGAATGATGAAATGACTACAACTTTTAGAGTCTGACATAATAAAGAGAACCCAAAAATAAAGGGGGGGGGCTATGTCATGCATAGAAAAGCAATAAAGGCTCATTTTCAGATGTAACCAAATGATGCTGCAGCAACAGAACACCTAAATGAAATTCCATGGTTTGACATGGAAGTTATACATTAACAAAAATTAAGCTAAGCCTTACTTAACACTAGGGGGCTCAGAAAACCCCTTAGTGATCAAGAAATCCTCTTCTAATGTCATATCATCATCTAAATATTAAAACAATTTTAGATTAGCTCAATAACCTATACCATTAAAATATATCTATTGACTTCAGGAAGCATCTGGAAATCCCTTTTCTTTCTCAGGTTCATCAAAAAGGCTAAAAATTTAAGTCACAGCCTTATAAATACTCTAGTAATTCATGTTGGTCTGTCAGAAAAGTTCCATTAATAAAAATTCTAGATCAAAACTATTCTGTCAGTATAAAAGAATACTTTGAAATGTAGTAATAATCTACCAAATATGCAATTATAAGTAGAATTTAAGATATAAAAACCACATGAAGCTCTAGAGAAACTTCAGTGTGTATTTTTTCAGAACAAGTGTAAAATGGCTGTGATAATTGAGAAAAAACAATGCTTCATCCTTTCATACTTCTACATAAATTGGACATGTATGCAAAAACTTGCAAGATAAACTATTAAAAGTCTACAAAAAACACTGCTTGCCAACTTACGCAGCCCTTATTTTTCACGCTAATAATACACACAAATTACACAAATGTTTTACAAAAGTATATATTGCATATGAATACTAAAACTAAGCACTGAATTCATGCTAATCAGGTAAGACATTTCTAGATTGCATACTTCTGTTTGGCCTTAAATTTAAAATGGCGAAAAAAGAATAAAAAAAATATATATACCTGCTAATACTAGAATAAAATAGGCTTTCCTGCTGTTTTCTCTTGCACGTATGATGTAAAACGCTTCAAGAACTTTGGATACTCTCGTTTAGCCACTGCTCGTAGCACTGATGCTGGTGCCCATCCTCCTGGGTTCACTACAAGTAAACAGGAAGAAGGACATTGAAATAAAGCAACTCCATTAAAGGCTAGAAAAGAAAATTTAAATTCATTATTCCTTCAACTCTCTCTAAAGTAACAGGAAAGAATAAAGATGAGCAGATTTTTTTTTTTATGCCTCTAAGCTTGTGCTGTAGCACTTTCTACTCATGATACTCAAGCTCAGTCCAGGTCTATGATGCCACTATTTAGAAAACAGTAAACATGATGTATTGTGAGTCTTGGGAAAACACCCAAATGGAAGAGGACATTCTTTATGGGCTTCCAAGAAACAAAAGAAAGAGACATGAGTAACTTTTTACTTCAAAGAAAACATAAGTCAATCTTAACTTTTCAATAATTGCTGCATTTTTCTGCAGAACTCCTACATAGCCAATACCTTACAAATTATTTTAAAGCATTTAAACAAAATTTGAACTGATTCTGAATCATGCTTCAATTCATGCAGCAAGTATGTTGCTGAAAAGTTACCATATAATCATAGTTCAGAATTTAGCAATGAAAATGTATGTTTTAAGTAACTGTGAAACTTTTTAAAAAAGTAATAAGGTGAGCTACTCTTGAAGTGTTTTGTAGCTCTAGGAGAATAGCTATTAAGTATCCACCTCCAATACTACAATACACTGGTAAATACTGGGTACAGCAACAATACAGTTTGGCTTTGACAACTTTTCAGTCAATATCAAAGATTCTATCAGCTAAAAAAGTAATTAAAGAATGTAGACTAGATTATACAGTTGCAAGCATCTTCATACAAAATGTATTTGCTCATTCTTGGCACCAAGGGTGAGAACTGTATCTTTACTATCAGCAGCTTTTCAGCCTAATGAGATGAACTGAGAGAAGAAAAAATTTCAGCAGTACATGAAAAAAAACAACACGTCACTACTGACACTAAAAGCTACGCCAGCTCATCCCAGTTGCAAACATTTCTGCTCACCTTCCTCCAGCCCAAGGTTGTGTACTTAGGACTGAGCTCCCAGAACACCACAAAATGAATGATCCCATTCATTATGTAGCACATTAATTTGATACTTTTTGAATGTGAAGACCACAAGTGTGATGCTATATATAGATTTAACAGAAAATTGCATCAATGGTCTTTTTTTTTTTTTTGCCAGTATTCAACTCCCCAGAACTGGTATCTATCATGAATGTCATACTGAAAAATTTTAAACTTACCATTAGCTACATATGTAATCTTGCACAGGATGTTGTCCCTGCTTATTTCCTTGTTCCCCTCTGGTGGGCTTACTAATGTCTGACAAATCATAGCAATATTGATTTTGGCACGGACACAGCGATTGTTCAGCTGTCAAAAAACATGAAACATTGTAAGCCTCACAGTAAAATTGTTTCAGCATACTTAACCACGAACATTTTAATTGACTAAGAAGTCTAAGACATTGGAAACTGTGTTTCTGAAAGTCTGCATTCTAGCACTACATGGACGTAGCAAGAAAGTGAGTAAAATGAAAGGTAAAAGGTGAATAGGGAAAGAATTAAACTAAAATGCCTGAATTTCAAGTTTCTGCTTGCTTAACACAAGTGGATTACTTCAATTATTGTGACAAATCAGTAAAGGAACATTTCAAGGACAACACATCAGTTTACAAATATCAGTTAACTTTTCCCTTGACAGCAAGCTATGGCATAGCAACCCAAAGAAAACAATCATTGCTACTATCTGATAGAGCCAAGGCAAAATATACACTCATACAAGCCTACTCCTGTATCTGACAATACTGAAGAGTTATTAATTTGAATCCATATAAAATAACCTCTGTTCTTTAAAATTATTNGCTTTTCGGGCAGTTGAAATACTCAAAAAGCATCTCCCTTTCTCCTATCCAATGAAATATATTTTTCTCCTATAAAAGTTAGCTTATAAAAGCTGGAGACTAAAGACTACTAGTATCAGTAATACACACTAGTAAATTGCACGGCATATCCTTAATTATCATTCATTATCCAGGGTCAAATTGTAGTTACACAGAAATGCTCAATCTCTCTTTACTGGAAAATAGGTAGTTTTTAAACTAAGCACATAAGTTATGGGACCAGGAATGTCAAGTGTGACCATATTTTTTTCATTCTATTTTTGGGGATTTCTTTTTGCAAGATGAAATAGCCGCATTCTTCAAGGACAGGGCTTGCCTCAGGACTCTGTTGCAATATATTAGCTGAGGCCTGATGCAGCTGAGCTTGAGATAATTTTCTTTTCTGTGCAAGTAATGCCTTCTGTTATTTCAAACTGTTTCTCCAGTCTTGCATACCTATAAGGTTTCTAAAAATTTACTGATTACTACATAAAAAAGAAATCCCTGTGTAACAAATAAACGTAGGATTGCTATTGATCCATTAGGCATCAGCTATCTCTAGTATTAAGAAAGCTTGCTCTGTGGAAGCTCATCTCGGTTCCTAAAATTATGCTTACTTTGGAAAAAGCCACAAGTTTATCCTTTGGCACATCTCAGTACTGGATCTCTGTTCTTCCCATGGAAACTTTCAGAATGTTGTTAATTATGTACAAATGAAGATGAGCTGAAATACTTTGGAAGTGCTCTATATGATGCTTACCCTGTACGGGGGCACCTTTTAACATCCCTCTGATATGCCAGCACAAAATGAACTTCTCAATGTATAAACTAATGTGGCATTCAGGTTTTCATCTCAGTAATGTCAGTAACACAAGCAAACTGCTTTCCTGTTAAATGTTTTCTTTACATTAGAATATTGTATATAACTTTATTCAAGATTTAAAAGTTAGTTAAAAGGTAAAATGTTTTAAGTAAGTTTCTCCAAAGCACTGGAAAGTTAAAAATAACAAGAAGCCAGGATTTTTCTTCATAATTTTTAATACCTTTCACTTTTAAATACTGGTTTTAAATTTGTGATTGTAACATGTAAGAGCCAACTTCTTTTAACTTTTAAAACTTATGATTAGAATCATAAAGCTATTATAGAACAGTTACAACTCTACACACTCAAGGTACTCAAAAATATGATTCATGTTTTAAGTCTGTAAATAAACAGTGGTAATTCAAATACAGCATTATCTGTACAACTTGACAAAAATACAGGTGGACAATCTGATTAAAGAGAATCTGCACAACTTCAGATAAGCCAGCTCAGCCCAACTAAGTAAAAGGTAAGGTTTTTTTCAAAGTGCATCACATTTTTTCACAGATAAATTCGTCAAAAATGTTCAGGTTCTCAGACAGAATAACAATGACCGTCTCCTCTTCATTCCCAGTACAAGTACTATCAAGTTATGCCCTTCAGATCTAGTTTGGCAACATTAAAATTCTCCAAACAGATGCAGATAGTCAGAGAATGATATCTGATGGAGAAGACTGCTGCATTTTCAGCCTTTCAAAGTGTTTCATTCTAGAGTCAGGAGCTGCTTCTGCAAAGACCACCACAGCTGCATAAATTCTACTGATCCATTAACAGGAAGAAATGAACTCACAATGCACAGATATGTGACAGTGACTGAAAAGAGGGATGGGTTCAAGAGACAGGGCAAATTGTCTAAAAGCAAAATCCCTTCCAGAAGACAGGATCTAACAGCAACTCACAAGGACAATCTGAGAGGCCTTCTTCCTTCTTTTTTAAAAAGGTGAATTTATACTGATTTCTCAGTCATGCAACTCCTTCTAAATTCTTTAAAAAGCCTCTTACAGCTCTGGGCAGGGCTAGCTACAGTGAAGTACCAGTGCCTTTATCTAAAAGTAAAACATTTCTTTACAAATAGTATCTGTAGTGTAATTTTATTTACAGAATAAATCGCAAAAGTACATCACATTTAGTGCAAATGCAACTAATGATATAAGTTTATACACTGCTTTGTAAACTTTCCATACCTTTGTAAAATAAAGCTATCCAATTAAATTAATAAACTTGCCCGTGTTCCAACAATTACCAGAAATGGCAAATAAGGAGTTAAACTCTTTATATTTTGGATATTTTTTTTTAAAGTTCCCATCAGTGTCTATGGTGGAATATACCACTGCTTGGTTGATTGTAAAAAGATGAAGTACATTTGAGGTATAAGATTTGTTTTTTTAACGTTGGTATATAAAATGCTCACTGGTGATATAGTAAACATGTACAAATTTTCATCTTATTTGCCTTACTAACATTACCATATAGGCACTTTTCTACATAGTCAAATTAACAGAATAACTCTGTAATAAGGCATATTCCATGCACACCATTAGAGAAAGGCAAATAAAAAGGGAAGAGTTATGGAGCATGAAATCTGCATGCGTGTGTTAGGTACAGTTTCATCTTTACACAGAAGATGAAGAAAGGAAGTTTTTCAACACTGTGCAGATCACATTTAATCATTTACCAAATCTTCATTGTTACCATATTTATTTCTTTTCAGGCACCTAGCACACTATATCAAATAAGCCTTTCAGCTTTCTTTTGAAAATAATAATGTCTGAAACTATTTTCCTCAAGATATACAGGTTAGTGAAACACTGAGCAGTCTCTGAAGAGTTTCCAACTACAGGACATGGAGAAAAGACCTCAAAGTCAATACTAGCCTGATACAGTCCTCTCCTGATCAGCCTCTCCAGAATCAAAGCTAGGCAAACATCTGACATTTAAATTGTCACAGCAGCCAAAGGGAACTTTCCAGTTAGAACTATGCATTCTTATAGCTCTGATGGGTCTTTGATCAAGAGGCAAATAATTTTCTACGTGAAAATAGCTTTTATTAAGATGAGGAAAACACATGCAGGATCTGAAAATAATGTACTCATCCTCACTGTAGACTGGGAATGTTGTCTTATGTAATCCAAATGATTTCAATAAATATTATAGTGTACCTTCTCACAGTTTGGGAAAACCCTGGATATCATGCAAGAAAGCAATCCACATATAGCATGGACAGATGTCTTCTAGGTTTCAGGCAGTCTCTTGCCCTCTTATACAGAATCTTTCTAGATAATTCTGGATCGTGTTCAATAACAAAAATTCTGCGGCACATATTACATAACTAAAAAATACAATAGAAATATAAAGATATCTGGAAAAAATAAAGCTTTTCACACTCTTACTCCTTCAGAACTAAAGATCGTCATAAGAGTAAGACAATAGAAAAGGCAAAGTCATAAAGATATTGACAGCCCTCAGTTATTAACTGACATTTTATGTAACAAGATGATTCATTATAGAAATCAGCAGCAATGAACTGTGATTATACAAAGCAGAACAAAACCTACCAACAAGTCACCTACGTTTTACTGAAGCTCCTCCTCCAAACTCCCCCAAAATACCATACAAAGTTTTGTGCATATAAAGCACATACAATATGCTATATGTGCATTTGTCTTTTGTGCTTTTTAGACATGCACAAAAACAGCACAAGTATCTTAGGAAGGCCAACAGTGAAATTCAGCAACTTGTTTAAAATTAAAGTGGTAACCCATGTTGGTGATTCAAAGTTGTATATGCTCTTCTAAAGCAAGCAAATAAAAGTAGAGCCATATACATGTTATCAATACATGTATTTATAATTACACACTGATTCAGCAAGAAAAGTTAACAGGAGAGAGCTACTTTTAAATATTCAGCCTCATGGTGTTGCAACACTTCTTCACTTCAGTATACAAAGCCTAGAACTCAGGCCATAAAAAGACTGTAGATCCTTCGTTCCAGCATGGAGTGCTCTATGCATGGTCACTTCTCCAACGCGGAATGCTCACTCAGTCTTGTTCTGATTGCTGCAGGTAAGCAAAGACAAAACTACAGCACCGAAAAGTTTGAATGCTAATAGAAAAATGAACTTGTTAAATACTTTAAATATCACCAGAACTGCTATGATCACGTGTGAACTGTTGGCTCGTGACAGCTGTGCTGTTAATGCTTCACCTACACTACTTCTCTAACAACATAAAATTAAAATTGTGAATCATTACAGGGCTACCTGTTATAGAATGATGAAATGACTACAACTTTTAGAGTCTGACATAATAAAGAGAACCCAAAAATAAAGGGGGGGGGCTATGTCATGCATAGAAAAGCAATAAAGGCTCATTTTCAGATGTAACCAAATGATGCTGCAGCAACAGAACACCTAAATGAAATTCCATGGTTTGACATGGAAGTTATACATTAACAAAAATTAAGCTAAGCCTTACTTAACACTAGGGGGCTCAGAAAACCCCTTAGTGATCAAGAAATCCTCTTCTAATGTCATATCATCATCTAAATATTAAAACAATTTTAGATTAGCTCAATAACCTATACCATTAAAATATATCTATTGACTTCAGGAAGCATCTGGAAATCCCTTTTCTTTCT